CCAATTACAATATGCCAGGCAATGACAGAAGAAATATAAAAATAAGGATAATATTAGAGCTGAAAAATCAGATAAGTTTTCCATCAAAAATCTTTGAGGAATTTCTGGCTGATATAAAGCAGGCAAGACTAAATCAATTAAAAAAACATAGTTATCAGCACTTTGAGACCTGCATCCCATTATTCACAGGAGAACATGGCCATCTTACTGACATGAAGAACGGACTGCTATGAAAAGGGAGATACTGAAAACAAGCGTTCTTAGAAGTAAAAAATATCATAAATCTCTAAAAGAATGGGCAAAAAAAGTGGAACGAATGTTGTTGAAAACAAAATTAGTGATTTGAAGAACCAAATTTAGGGGTCCTTCAGAATAGAGAATAAAGAGCTTGAATGTTCCAACTGATCAAGCCAAAAAGATGGAAGAGATAGCAATGATCTATCAAGAAGCCCCACTGTCCATTTAATTAAGAGTTGCAGAAAGAGGAAATGGAGTGGAGGAGAATTTTCTTATCAGTAGAAGAAAGTTGCACTGAGCATGAATGTTTAGGTCAAAAATAGCCCCTGAGGGTTAGGCAGGCATATTTTTAATACTTCTGGTGAAATTTTTGAGGCCCAAAGTTAACGACAAAGTGTTAAATAAGTTTCCAGAGAGAAAAGAGAAATTGCACGAAAGAAACAAGGATCAGACTCACATTCCACTTCTCTCTTACAACTCCAAATTCCAGAATGTCCAAAGAATAGGGAGAGAAAATGGATATAAACTTCAAATTCCAAATCCAGTCAAGCTATTATTCAAGAGTGGAGGGAAAATCAAATACTTTTTCAGATTTTCAGAGCCAATATGCTAATGCACTTTTGTGGGGGAAAATTGTCAAGTATAAGCCCCTTCAAGAAAAAAGAAAATATAAATCAAATAAAATTGTAAAGAAACAAGAGACAAATCAAATCATTTCAGATATATGTATTCCACTGCAAGTTACAGAAGACCTAATTTAGCATAACTTGATATAAGGGGATTTATTACATTATATAATAAGAACTTAGCTGTATAGTAATTAATGTGGATATGTGTAATGTTAGCACATCTATTGGGTTGTCAGAAAAGTCATGACGCATTTTTGCAACAAAAAACAGAAAAAATATGTCATGACTTTTCCGACAGCCCAATAATTCAGCATTTGTACTGCGAAGTTTCACACTGCAAAAAATATCATTGACTTTAATTTGTTGTTTGTTCTGAGAGTACCTTTTAGCACAACTAATTAATTCTACTTGACAGCCATGTTTTAAAGTGTAGTTCCTTCGTGCCACAGTTAACATTCCTTTTTTTGTTGTTTTTTTCTGTATTTCATTAAAAAAATATTTAATGAAGCACCTGTTACAAACCAGATGTTATATAGTGTAATGGGACAAGAAATATCCTGACCTTCAAAGAACTTAAATTCTATTGAGGGTAGAAAATTCAATTTCAAAATGTCGTGTTGAGTTTTATAGTTAGGAAGGACAGAAAGTTCTGGGAACTTGTGGAGTGAGCACCTAAATTGGACCCAGGGGGTGAGAGAGCTTCCTGGGGAGCTTGTGTCTAAGCTGAGAATTAAAGGCCAACCAGTAGTTATCTAGGTAAAGGGAGAAAAGGGCAATGATTCAGGCAAATAAAAGAACATGGACAGAGGTTCAAGAAAGACCATGGTGCTTTCATGGGACTGAGCATATTCAAGGTGGCGAGTGAGTTCCAGTAGGGGATTTGTAAGAGATGAAGCTGAGGTCAGTATGTACCCATTCATGAAGGTCCTCATAAGCCATGCTGAGATAAATTATCCTGAAGGCAGTTGAGCATTCCAAATCAATCAGGAATTGGGACGTAAAAGATGATTCACAAACTATTAATGTATTTTTATCTCATTTTAGTATTCCTTATCAACATATTTATTGATTTGTGTATTTTCTGAGTCAGATGTGGAGGCTCCTCAAATCAACTGTCCTAAGGACATAGAGGCTAAAACTGAAGAACAGCAAGACTCTGCTAACATCACCTGGCAAATCCCAACTGCTAAAGACAACTCTGGGGAAAGGGTAAGGTTTATGCAAATATTTGCCTCCTTTTCAAATGGATACTAAATATGCTGNCCTAAGAGATTATCATGAACAGGAATATAGGGCATCATGGAAGTCACTGAGATGGACTCTGAGACATGTTATGGGGTTTTGGTGGGCTGGGTAGTGAGGGAATTTTTCCAGGAGAACTCAGAGCACAGACGTCATTTGGGAACCTGCAGAAGCAGGAGCAGTTCAAGTGTCCTCTTGTGGCTTCTGTGATGTAATGTTGAGGCTAGAGAGTTAGAAATGGCGGCACCAGAAAGATACAGGTTCCTCTGTACACTTCATGGCACTTCCACTGCTGGTGATTGTAAGGCTGACTGAGGCCCGGAGGCATTTCCCTCATCTAGGGCATAGTAAATCTCTTCTGGCTGCCCTTTCACAGTGGTTCAAAGCTGGTAAAGACAGGAAATGTGTCACCAGTTGTACCTGCTCACTTCTCAGATAAGGGAAATGTGGTCCTTGGTCCCGTGCCGTACCTCTGAGGAGGACTAGAGCTCACACACAAATCCCATGAGCTGAAAGTGGGAGAAATCTTTCCCTAGAACATTAACAAAGGAAACGTGAATGGATGCTGGACAGAGGGAATTAGGAATTGTGTATAACTACTGTTATCAAAGAGACAAATAACAATGTCTTAGCCAATGAAGAGCGTATTGCTCCCTCATCTAAAAGAAAAGGCAGAAGTAGGTCATCCAAAGCTGGTGTGGTAGCTCCATTGTCATCAGAGAGCCAAGCTTCTTTTATTTTTTTGTTATACCATCTTAGTGCGTGATATTTATCCCATGTTATCCTATACTTATACACTGTAATATCCTGGGGTTACTATCACTCATGTCCGTATTTCAGGACAAAGAAGGAAGAGAGAGGAGAAAACAAAAAAAATATTCTCTCAGTTGAGACAGTCCCCATTAAAAAGCTCTTCTAGAAGTCCCACAAAACTTCAGCTTATAGCGCACTGACTGTCACTCATTGCAATGGAGGTGTGGAGTTATCTTTTAGCTGGGCATATTACTATGCTGAATCCTGCTGGGAAGAATGGTCATTGGTGTGCAACTAACACTTACTGCCACAGCAGCAAACACAAATAAAATGATGTTAATGTCTAAGTCAAGATTAGGGTCATGAACTAGGATTTGAAGTAAGTGTCCAGGAAGAAAAGCATGAAAAAGCTAAAAGGACCAGAGTGTGGTCAGAGAGTAGAATACAGGAGATTAAAATTGCAAATGTGGAGCAGCTTTGCAGATGCTGGGGTCATTAAAAGGCCCAGGATGTGCCGGTGAGATCTGAGAATCGAGTTGATCATGAACCTGAAATCTCTTTCCTGGAAAAGACCCCTTCCTTTTGTTGTAACATAGCCTGGAAAATCAGAGAGAAGACCCAGCTGAGGGCTGCACATACCTCCGTTTGTCAAGCACATCCCAATCTACAAACATGTATCATCCATTTAGGGCGAGATTCTTTAAACAGTTTAGATTGCAAACCTATGGGTAGATGGCTGAACGCATTGATATTGCTTGAGCAATGCATTTGATAAAACACAGGCTTTTAATTGTCTAGTAATAACTCAAAAAATTTTGGTGTGTGACTTACTTTAACCATTTTAAGAAAAGATTTCTTGCTTGCAATGTGTCAGCATTATTAAACTTATAATTATTATTTTTGCCTTTATTCAGTGTAATGTGATCTAATTGTATTCATTTTATGTAGTAAAAACATGCCCTCATCTCCGTCAACCCAAACATGGCCACCTCAGCTGCTCCACAGGGGATATGTCCTACAGGACAACGTGTTTGGCTACCTGCAGTGAAGGGTACAGACTAGAAGGAAGTGCTAAGCTTACCTGTCAAGGAAACTCCCAGTGGGATGGTCCAGAACCCCGGTGTGTGGGTAAGTTCCTGAGAGGCATGGTGCCTTTGGTGATTGATTTCTCTTGTGCTCTGATGTCTCCTGTTTTCTGCAAAGACCTAGAACTAAAAATTAACTCATAATGAATATAAATACACATTCATATATAGAGATGCACAGAGATATAGGTATACACATAAATATGTTATTTCATGCCTCTCCATTGGTTAAAAAAACTTGTACACCAGAATCTAGTTTTCCAAGTCACTGAAGTT